GGAAAAGAGTTTGAAGATGCCGGTCGTGGAGCTCCGTTTCCAGAGCCAAAAGATCCTCTTCCGTTTGTCGAGGAAGCGGCTCGTGATCCGTCTCGGGATAAAGGGTAGCCATGACTTGTTCCAACGGAATGCACAGTGGATCTTGGTCATCGCGTTCGGAGTCGTGCAAGTACAAAAAGGCCTCCAAGTTCGCAGGCTTCAAGATCGTGGCCGCAAACCCCACAACTTGATCTGGCGATTCGCAAAGTTGCACTCTGGCCAGCGCTCTTTCTATCTCCTTTGTCTGACGTGTCGACCAAGTCCTTCGACTAACGTTCTCCGGACGCTCAATCTGGCAATCCTCCAGCACCTGCTCTATACAGAAAAGTCAGACAGTGCCTGTTTCAGGCTTTCCAGCCCAGCTTGCGATGCCGTCGTACCGAAGTAGTAGAGCTCCAAGAGAAAGTGTATGCACCGCAAGTTCAGGATGCAAATTATGAGCGGCGGCGCAGAGGATCACACACTTGGGCACTATCTACACACAGTGAGAAACAAAGACACATACACACACTCGCCGAAAGGCACAAAGCTGCTGCGGTGCATTCTCAGAGACAGTGGTCATATGGCTAACAGATGTAGGTTTCAATCATGATGTTGAGCCCAGTTTTAGCAGGCAGCCAGATTATCCACCGTCTGTGATTGCGGCTTTCCAATCCGGATCGCACGCATCGGAGGTATCCTGGCCTACTCACTGCGGCTTTCCAATCCGGATCGCGCGCCTCAAACCTATCCGAACCAGGTTCTACCGCACTCACTATCTCAGCGAACAGAGGTCCGGCCGCTCGCGGCGTTCCTGATCTTCTGCACGGGTCCCGGATGCATGCTTTCGGTCGGGGTCCCCCCCCCTGCTCACAATCCCGAACGCTTGTTGGAAGACGCGTACCAATACAAATCATATTGGTACGCGCCTTCCAACAAGCGTTCCGCATCTTCCAGAAAAAAATTGTTGGCATGGCGGCGGCAATTAGCATGCGGACAGCAATGCACAGAGAAGTCCGTCAACTGCTCCTGGCAGAATCCTTGCTGTGCCAAAACCCTCTCCGGAGAATGTAGCTGCCGACGCGGAGGTGGCATCTACAGAAAAGTCAGACAGTGCCTGTCTCAGGCTTTCCAGCCCAGCTTGCGATGCCGTCGTACCGAAGTAGTAGAGCTCCAAGAGAAAGAGCGTATGCACCGCAAGGCAGGATGCAAAGTATGAACGGCGGCGCAGAGGATCACACACTTGGGCACTATCTACACACAGTGAGAAACAGAGACACATGCACACACTCGCCGAAAGGCACAAATCTGCTGCGGTGCATACTCAGAGACAGTGGTCATATGGCTAACAGATGTAGTTTTCAATCATGATGTTGAGCTCAGTTTTAGCAGGCAGCCAGATTATCCACCGTCTGTGATTGCGGCTTTCCAATCCGGATCGCAAGCATCGGAGGTATCCTGGCCTACTCACTGCGGCTTTCCAATCCGGATCGCGTGCCTCAAACCTATTCCGAGTCAGGTTCTACCGCACTCACTATCTCAGCGAACAGAGGTCCGGCCGCTCGCGGCGTTCCTGATCTTCTGCACGGGTCCCGGATGCATGTTTTCGGTCGGGGTCCCCCCCCCCTGCTCACAATGAAACAGGCCGAACTCGGAAGAATCTGAGTTCCACAGCAGCTGCCCCAATCGGAAAAGAAAGGCTTTGCAAGCATGAAATCGCAGGAGAATATGGACAGATACTAGTCATCCACTTCATGCCTGCAACACCGCTATCGTGCGGCAGCCCCCGAAGGTGTTCCAGCCATTCCCGGGAACAGGCTGCGAAGATAATAGCTTGCCTCACATCGCAGGCGACGAAACGGATGTCCATTTCGGCGTTCCTCCCATGAATATGCCTCAGCCGGGTTGCGTGCCTGATGCCAATCATTAAGTCGGCGATCTGTCTCTGTCCCCCAACGACAAGTTCCTCTTCGCTCACATCGGGCTCGGAGTCCTGGCAGCGATGGTCATAAAGCCCGCACAACGCATGCACGTAGCTGTCTTTCGCAAATTGCAGTATCAGCTGGACGACCGGGGACACCTGGAACACCGAGGACATGGCGAGATGTTCCCGTGTCACTCAAAAGACGGCTTCAGGCAAAGTACAGTCGCACCAGGCGGCGACTGTTGCGCTGCACGTCACGAAGAAGGGCAGCAAGTGTGCGCAAAACTTCTCTGCAGGACAAGCGAAGCTGTTGCAAGTGATCGATTCCTACCAGCAGAAGAAGACGAGCCCCCGGAGAGGATGCACCAAGCACCTGTGGCACCCCGACTTGCCTAGGGAAGTCGGGCCGGAGAATTTCGGATCTCCAACCTGTAACTCTGAGCTCCTGTTGAAGCCAGAGCACTAGCAACGCTCGAAATGCAGGCGGGGGCCGATGCAGGCGCCTGTCCATGCGAAGTCCGCAGGGACTTCTACCTTCTAGAACACCAGCTTTAACTCCGGGACGATCAGGGAATTGCTAGATGGCACTAGAGGGGCTCGAGAGAAAATTTTTTGGGCCGATGCCCAACTCAGAATGTTTGAGCTTGAGCCAAAATGGATCCAAAGAAATGGGCTGGTCCAGGCGCACCGCGTTTGGCCTCGGAGGTGGCTACAAGCATATACCCCGATGGGGCAGAGGTAGACTCTTTAGGTAAGGCAATGGAGCACAAGGAAAGTCAAACAGGTATCTTAATATAATTACGTGGATGACCTCCCCTAACGGTTGCTTCTTAAAGCAAGTCGCAACACTGGACCGCCCCACCCGGCACGTTAGCCCATTTGTCCGGGTGTCATCTGCCACAGCCCTGGCACATTGGCCTCAAGCCGGTCCAGATGCCTTAAATGCACTCCAAGCCTCACACCCGGCCAACGGTGTGCACGGACCGAATGGGCTGTCGAATCCGTGTGGATAAGGCGTTTCATGATTTTAAAGAGATCCAAAGAAATGATGACGTTGGCACTTTGCGTTATGAACAACCCTACCACATGCAAGCAATCGGCAAAGCTCCCTACGATGACAAGAACGGCCTCCCTTCCTTGCAGGAACCATCTGGCGGGACAACAGGATCCTCTGACCCAGATTCTTGCCCCAGCTGGCGCATTAGCCCATGTGCCCAGCTGTCATCTGCC